AAGACCTACCCTGAAAATAAGCCTGGCTTGATTTTTAAAGGTGGGCCTAATATAAGGCCTACCCCAAAAATAAACCCTAGTTTTGGGGTGAGGCACACCCCTAAAAATCAAGCTAGGGTGGTGGGTGGAGCTTACCATTGAAGCCAGGCCTCCCATGGATCAACACTTGCCTCGCCGGAAAAAACAGCTTCATTTTGCAGCTGAGAATGGAACTCGGACTGCATTTCACAGACAAGGAGGCCTTTCCGGAAGACCTCTACAACTGAGAACCAGACAATATGGGAAGCACATAAATCCAAGAAATAAACAAACAGTGGCTTTAGCTCTATCTAATCATTATTCTTCCATTGTAGGCTAGAAATAGATGTCATTGCATTTTATTTGTACTTCCTATTGTATACTATCCAAACTAGCGAGGGTGACATCACATCAGGGGTTTTTTTTGGATTATAGTCGTACAAACTTTCTAATCACTCTTGTTAATTACTTTTTTAATTGTCTCAATTTCCATCTAGAATATTTTGTAAATAAAGATAGTATGTCTTAAAACTAATGATATGCTCTTGACAGTATTATATATAATGGTAGTATAACTTGGCATATCAAAGAGACCAGGTCAGGATTTCACAAAGATTACAAAGTTTATTGTTATAGATTAACAACATTTTGAATATCTGTCAGAATTTTCTTCTGCCCGTCTTGCACCCAACAGAATCATATCTTGATCAAAATTATATCTGCATTTTTCCACAATGGCACAAACATTTACTAACAAGTTAATTTTAATTATAACTTAAGTTGATTTTTTTGAACTTAACATTATTATATTATGGCAACAATACAACTATATTTTTATTATTATTTTTAATGAACTGTTAAAATGGCAGTACCGTCATTGGGCGATTTTGGATAAGTGATGTCTGCAGAGGGGGGAAATAAGTCAGACTAATGAAAGTAAAATTGTGTTGCAATGCTTGCCCCGCCCCTTTTCCAGATGTATCACAATATCAGATACATGCCTGAAAGAGGTGGAGTTTGCAGCCCAGTGTTCCATTCACAATAGCAGCTACTTACTTCAAGTATTTCATTGCCACATCACACTGCCACATCACATCTCATAAAAGATGAGAAAGCATCCTTTATATGGAATTCCGCTCTTCTGTCATTGTTACATTTAACTACCAGTACTTTTTTGCACTCAAGAAATAAGGTCCTTTGGGTCTTTAAATAAGGACTTGTAATCCCAGAGAAGTTTTGAGAAGGCAAAAAAAAATGACTTGAAGATAATTCTTTCAGGAACTGTTATAGTGAGAGATTTTTGCAACCTAAAGTTAGTTATTGGTGTACAACATCATTCTGGCTTTATAAATTTTTTTTACATATCCTTACATATTTGAGTGGTTGTTCTATATTCTTGTCCTCAATGATTTAAACAGGAAACATGTTTCTTGAAACCCAATAGTAAAATTAATTCATATCCTTGGGTTTAAATCCTATGTGTGGCTCCTTTAGACTTAGGTTGCCACCTTGTGACCAGTGTTTGCAATAGAAAACCATAATTTCATTGTTGGAAAAATCGATAAATTAGATTTTTCTCATGAACTGTGAACATTTGAAACTTTGCATTTTTGACTAATTTACAATGTGGTATTCCCTATGGAATAAACATCTTATTAGAACAGTACTGCCTTTGAACATGCTGTCTGCTGCTCTATTTCTAGCATCCAGTATATCAGCCTGGATGTCCCTGGGACAGATTGAGATCTTGGTTTCAAATGAGAAGAATCAGTATACATAATTTCCTGAATTTACCACTTTCCTTCTCTTTCTCGCTATGAATCTACTGAGGTTTTTTAAAGCTTGCATCAAAGTAAATGGTGTTTGGATCAACAATTTAAGATATGCTGACAATACAGTTCTGCTTGCCAGTAAGCATGAAGACCTTCAGGTCCTCATCAACAGAGTCACAGAAATATCTGAAAAATATGGCTTAAAGCTTCACATCTCAAAAACCAAGATCGTGGTCGTCAGCAAACAACCCGTTAATTTACCACCAATAAAATTTGGAAGGAATACCATTAGAAAAAGTTGAAAGGATCACACACCTCGGTTCTAATTTACATGAAAGCTGGGACATGATGACTGAAGTAAAAACAAGGATAGAGAAAGCTCAAACAGCATTCTTCAAAATGAAAAAGGTCTTGACATAAGCCTAAGATTGAAAATCAGGCTTGTCAGATGTTATATTTTTTCTATCCTCTATGGAGTAGAGAGTTGGTCTCTGACAGGAGGCCACCTGAAGAGACTAGAAGAACTTGAAATGTGGATTTACAGGTGGCTGTTAGTTATAAGCAGGGTTGACAAGATCAGAAATGAGGTAATAAGCTGCCTGGGAAAGTCAAGGGAAATCATCAAAACAATTAAAAATGAAAGTTAGAATATTTCGGACACATGATGCGACACCCAGAAAAATACGGTATACTCCATTTAATCCTCCAGGGAAAGATTGAAGGCAAACGAGGTCCAGGCAGAAGAAGAACATCATGGCTTCAAAATCTAAGGGACTGGTTTGGACAACACTCAGCAGCATTTTTTTGTGTGGCTGCTGATAAAAACAGGATCGTAGACATTATCACCAATGTCTGATAACGGATATGGCACAAGAAGAAGAAGAAGAAGAAGAAGGCCTGCTGGGAATTACTATCATAATCTCACTTTCCTTGCCTGCCCATTCCTGCCACCCTCCAGAAAAATAGGTATAGATCCCCATTTTTCTCATTAGGTGTTGTTATGTCTCCATTGTTTATCTTGTCCAACAATTTGCAAAAGAAGGTTGAAATGAAGCTGGCAAGGCAGTAGCTTTTGATGGATGGTCCTGTACTGATAGGAAATACAGGTATATAAAATGAGTGAGCAGGTGGACGAAAATGCATGGGAGATATTCTCTTTGTATACAATTACTGTAAACATGACAATTGTTGGCATGTATAGAGCACTTCCAAGCATGTCTATTTGTTCAATGGCTTTTAGTAGGATTCATTATCAGGAAAAGGTGCATAGGATTACAACCCCAACTCTTTTCCTGGTTTTTGGTGGTATGGGTGGATGGGAGAGGTATTTTGTTCAAATGTAGGAAGCAGGACTGCTTTTAGAACTTGCTTTGCTGTTCTTCCTGTATTGTTTTTACAAGTACGAATCAACTTAATCAAGTTACAAAAGAAAGTGTTCCTGTCCCAGAAGATACCGGTGCTCTGTGCCTAATAATTTGCCTAGTATCATTCCCATTAACTATATAACTGCTTGTTTTCATTCTATTCATTTCACTTCCTTTTGCCTCTCTGCTCATCTATTTGCACCTTCCTTTCCATGAATTCCATCATCCACCCATCCACTTTTCTCAGTGAGACTGTCTGCTGTCTAACCTGTTCGAAATGATAGAAGTTTGCAACCCAGTCCTCAACTACTGGGATGCCCAGCAGGGAATGGAAAAGCAGCATTGCAGCAGATGTATCAGTGGTTTTTATTTTTAAAAAAATTCGCTACATGAAGAATCTGACCTTGCTGAAAGCTAATTATTACTGCTCTGTTGTTATTTGTTAACAACAATCTTTCATATCAGGATCTATGATATAGGTTACTTATGGAAGATTATACGGAAATGTCATTTATTTCAGATAGCAAACTCACTCTCTTCTAGCTCAAATGTTCTTTCTTAAAAGCAAACACTGCATTAGAAGGTGATTGAATTAAGCATCTATAATAACCTGTCGATTTCCTTTCATTTCTCATTACAAATTATTATATTTGCCTTTTTTTAAATGCTCTCTATATTTGGGATAGCATTCTTCCAGATATTCGTATCTCTCCTCTCTCTTCTCCATTGTTGTTGAGAAAGTTATTCTCCCTTACCTTGAGATTTAATGGTTGTTGACTCGTGTGAGGTTTTTGTTGTTATGTATGGTTTTTCTTCTGTATGCGTATGACCTGTACTTTTTGAAATTCATTGTTCTTGCTTTTAAAGTGTAAGCTCCCCAGAATGATCTGAAGTCAGGCAGCCTCTACATTGTATGACTAAATAAAAATAGAAACTATCATAGGGAGTTCACTGGCCTTCAATCCAATCCAAGGTTATTTGTAAATATACGTTCAAGTCTTCAGAGAGGCTAATATAGCTTTAAAATATGTCATTTTTTCCCCTTAGTGCCACTTAAAAATTCTAATAGCAGGCTTGGGGTAATGATACAGATAGCCATCTAGCTGCACAAACATAAAAATATATCATTGAGTTGAATTTAGAAATGTTCAATGACTGAATAATCTCCACTGGGTTGTAAACTTCTTGAGAATTTTGGATTTCCCAGTGAAGCCTGATATAGAGTATATAGCCTCCAGTTACACTTTTATTCTGGGGCTTTAGTAATATTAGCAACTTGATTTTACTAGTTTGTGAGCCTTAGGCAATTAACTTTACCTCCTGCTCAGGGACTGTGAAAATTCAATATCAGAAAGGCAAGTGTTTCTGCAATTCCTTACCTACCTACTATATAAAAAATATGAACATATCACTGAAATTTTCGTCTTTACTGGTCCCAATTTATATCTATAAGCATCAAATTGAACTGAAGTTAATGGTTTATTTTTTTTAAAAAAAAATGCATATTAACTATGTTAAATAATGCTATCTTCCTGTACCTCTCTTATATTTCCACACACACATTACGTTGATTGCAATGAAGACATGAATGTGTTTGACTGCAGGTGTGAAAATTGCATTTTAAATCCTAAATTTTGTTTATACAATAAACAAGCAATTATGCTGATTACGTAGAATTACAGCCATCTGGCCTACATTCAAAATACAAAGGTTTTTTTAGATCCAATATTGCAGATCCCTTTGCTTGGTTTTGTATTAGATTCACTAATAGCTCTATTGCTTCCAAGTAGAAGAGTAAATTCATTGTGCAGTCCTGCTAATGCATTTTTTTGCCTTCTCCTTTTAGCCCCCTGTGAAGCCAACACATTTTTTTGCCATAGTAATATGTGTATTAATAATACATTGGTCTGCAATGGACTCCAGAACTGTGTATATCCATGGGATGAAAACCACTGCAAAGGTAATGCTAAGCATATGGATTAAATTTCCAATTAATGCCACATTAGTTTTACTTTAATTATTTGAAACTGACTGAATGAATATTTTCATGCTTTTCGATGAATGCATAAAATTGTATATTACCGAGTTCTAAAATTTGTTAGAACTTGTTTCAAAAGTTATTACAAAATAAATAGAGCATTGAATACCTAGAATGAAAAAGTCCTATATTTTCTCTGGAAAAGATAAATTGTTGGACTTTGATCAGTATTTGGATAGAGAAATTCTATCACTTGGGTTCCTCATTTTGTTAATGGTAGTTAATATTCAGTACTTGTGAAAATATAAACATTATTAAAAGAGCATTTACAGTATAAACTCACAGTTAGGGTGAGTTATGTATTATAAAGGGCTGATTTGTGAAATTGCAGTGCTTCAAGCTCTTTAGAGCAGTGTTTCTCAACCTTTTTAATGCCGTGACCCCCAACCGGTTGTAAGTCGAGGACTACTCAACCGGTCGTAAGTCGAGGACTACTCAACTGGTGCAGCACCGTTTGCAGAATGGGACTTTTGGCGGGCTCAGCAGGGCAGAGACAGCCTGGACAATTCCTATTGGCTTTTGAAAGCCAATAGAATTAGACTCTATTCAAGAAAGTCTATTCTATTGGCTTTCAAAAGCCAATAGAATAAAAGGGAGTAGCACAGTTAAGGAAAAGGGGGAAAAAATGGCAGACTGCATTGTTTGGTGACCCCCGTGAAATGGTCGTTCGACCCCAAATGGGGTCCCGACCCACAGGTTGAGAACCACTGCTTTAGAGCTATATGGGGCAAAACTAGAGCATTGGCATGTGAAAAGTAGAATATATAACACCATAACAACGCGTGAAAAGTAAAAACATCCATCACTTCTATGTGTGTGTCTTGAATGTGAATAGTAAAATGTATACACTTGTCCTTGTGTAAACCTGCCTTTGTTTCATGAGAAAATAACTCAAAAACAGCAAAACAACTCATTTCTTTGCATTGTTTTGGGAAATAAAGCCAAATATTTCTTAAGATAAAATTCCAACTTTCAATGACAGTTAACTCTATTATACCACGTCTAAGTGCAATTTTGTACAATTCATTGGTTTCTAATGTGAAAAAAATTGAAACCAAAACTAGAGTTCAAGTTCAAGCTTTATAGCACAGTTTGATTACAATTGTTTGGCCATAGCCCTCTAAATTTGCAGATTTCTGTATCTGTATTTGTCTTCATTATAAAGAATAAGAGGGATCATTTATTTCAGCAACGGCTTCCATGGTTATTATGCCTTTGAAAGCTTTTTTGGAGAGCAGTAAAGAATACAGAGCATTATTCATTTAGGAAGAAATGGAAAAAGCTTGCAAAATGCTTTGCCTTAACTCAAAACCAGCATAATGAGCCAGGCACAATAAATTGAAGTGTAATTCGAACAGAAGATTTTAAAATGGCAAATAATCTCCCAGAAAGACAGTTATAATTTTATGTTTTCTTTGTTGTAAGTGCAAATAATCTATTCACTAATTGATAGTTTTAAGTGCCTGAATGATTGTGATAGCTATTAGATAGCTTTCTTCCATGCCTTAAATCCAACTGTTCAATATTAATGTTATGAGAAGGACAGCAGATTCATATCAATGTCTGATGTGGTTTGCTGGCTCTGTTCTACCAGTATCTTCCCAGAAAGTATAGCTGGCCTATACATTCAGAATTCTACATAAAGTACCTATCTATGCATGATTGTGAATTTGACTCAGATGTTTGATTCAATGAACAGATAAGGACTGGGCAATCATGTGATTCAGAAGTTGGAACAAATATACAGTTTTACTGTTCTTTTCAACAAGCTAGTTTCCTTTGGACAATTTATGAGTGAAGACTTGCCAATTAACCATTTACCTTCCTCTTTTCAAAAGTGGTGGTGACAATATTTATATATCATGATGAAACAGATGAAATAAGAACAGATTAATTTTTACCATCAAATGCTGTAGGCCACTGGATTATGAAGAGCATTTCCAAATATGCCAATGATCAGAAGTAAAAATCCCTGCTAGCATGTCAAAAGCAATCAGTATTTATTCTGAATATTAATTTTATTTCAAAGCTTTCTCTCTATCTCCTTGGGATACCAAGATGAATAAAATCTCAAAACATATTCATAGTATGCTAGGATAAGTGGCAAATCATCAGCATATTACTAATTTTAATTAAGAAGTGCAATATAAAAAGGACAGGATAAATTTTTCATTAAAGAGATTTGAATCCCAATCCTGGATTGTTTCTTAACTATATTAGTTCTTTAACTAGTTGCATTTAGAGAAGATTTGAGAGGGATGGCTTTTATGATAAGTTTTTGGAAGAGTTCTTTTAGAAACAAAAATGTCAAAGAATGGCTGAATTCTTCTCCAGAAAGTTTGAGCAGTACTGACAACAATGCAGGATAACACAGGCAAAACTCTTTTAAGAAGAAAAGTTGGATAGTTCTAATAGAAATAAATAGATTTTGCTTTTCCCAATTAACCCTGAGACCCTCCAGTGCTTGATGGTATTGCCCACTTATCTTCACGTTATGGGAAATTGTCTTTATTAATCTCTGTAATGTACTTACAAATAAAACTATTAGAATTAGTAGAAAAGACAAGCACACTTATATCTGACTAACATTCAGATTACCCAACATTTATTTTCCATTGGCCATTTAGATGCTTCTAAGAAAGTTACAAACAAGGCATACAAGATTATTTCCTATGCTTTCTAAATGTATAGTCTAAAATGAATCAGATAGGGATATAAACTCTTAATAGATAATTAGTAGAATGGAATTCAGAAAGAAGCATCAATGTCATACTATAGGCAGAAGACATATAAGTGTCTTGATAGTTAAATGTGTTGAAGCATCTGACTGGTCATGGCTGTAAATTGTGCTTCATTTAGACTGATTGATCTAATCCAATGAACAATAAAACAAGCAAATAAATCTATAGCCGAGGTGGCGCAGCAGTTAGAGTGCAGTACTGCAGGCCACTTTAGCTGACTGTGTTCAGCAGGTCGGCGGTTCAAATTTCACCGGATCAAGGTTGACTCAGCCTTCCATCCTTCCGGGGTAGGTAAAATGAGGACCCAGATTGTTGGGGGCAATGTAAATATATATATACGTTGCTTACTGGTGTACACCGCTCAGAGAGTGCTTGCACTTAAAAGCGGTATATAAGTCTCATAAATAAATAAATAAATAGCAATTCCTTTAGCTTTTTGGGGGTAGGTTGGTGGTGGTCTGTAGAGCTAACTATCTTGAGCTCCCAAAAATACCTCTAAAAACTTTTTGTATTTTTGTACAAAACAGTAGAAAACTGCTACATAACTTTTGTGTCTATGTGCAGTATATGCATATAACATATGCCTTCAGTGTCTCTGTTCAATATTGTATGAACCACATCAGTTTTATGAACATACAGCTGTTTATGTATCGACTTCCATGTAAGCTACAACTGAAGCATTCTTGCCTTTATTTTGAATGTACAAATGCCTGAAAGGAAGTTGATATCATTAGACTTAAAGTAGTGAGAGATTATCCACAATACTCATATAGTGACTGTTCCATTTTCATAATGCCTTCATGAGTGTATGGAGACTATAGAACTGGGAGGGACAGATTTCCTTGAGTAGGGAAAGTTTTAGTTTCATTTTTCAGGGGCTGGCTATATCCTCATCATGAAATCTGATTCTCTAGTCCTCCAAACTGAAACACTTTCCTTGATGACACAATGCCCCCAAATCCTCAGTGATAAATTAATAGTTTCTTAGGTTAATGCATCTGCCTTCTCTTGGCAACCACTCCTTTGGACTTTACTCCTGGTGCCCAATCTGTTTTTTTTTTCCCTCTGAGAAATACCCACTTGAGATGATGGCTTCTTTCAATTCCTCAGCTAGACTTTGCTGAAAACTCTTCAATATACTTTAGCTTTACAAGATAGATAGATAGATAGATAGATAGACAGACAGATAGACAGACAGACAGACAGACAGATATGGACGGACAGACAGACATATGATCCCCTGATTTAGGCAAAAATTAAGACAACAGTGATTGGTCACTGCTAATGAGAAAATGTAAACAATTTTTATATCCTCAAGGATATCAGCCTGTAATTTATTTTCTTCTTTGACCAAATATCTATGGCCATACTGTATATCCACAGAAAAATTATTTCTAGCCTAGGAACTACTCATTCCTCTCTTACTCAACTCAGCTGTCTTACCTAGCCTTAGAAAAAAATAGGAAGTAGTTGCTTAATTTGATTTAACTGATGTCAGTTTATAGGCAAAATGTCTTTTAGAATAAACCTTGGCAGTATTAGGACTCAGTTTCTGCATAGTAATCATAGTATTATGGCTAGCAGAACATAATAAGTAAAATTCATGTTATTAGATTAAGTCTGTGACAAGAAGTCTATGAAGATGATCCTTTTGAATCTTGGATGGTTATTTGTGTTCATAAATGTTGGAATTAATCTTATTAAAAGAGGTACACAGTGTACATAAAGTACATACTGTATTTCTTCTTAAAAATCATATTTATAATATTTTTTGCTTTTTCTCCTGAGACACATAATTGTAACTAACAGCAATACTTCAAAAAATATTATGGTTGGGTAACATAGAATGTCAGTGATAAGGAAGCTTTTATGTTAAATTTTCCATAAATCAACATTAGACCAACTTTGATTCAATTCAAATTGAAAAATCAAGGTTCAAAAATGGCATACTTCTTTGTTAACTCTGTACTTTAAGATATCAATGCAAACCTATTTGCCATAAAATTCTGTGTTTGTTGTATTCTTTGTTATATCAGTCTTCAGATATATTGGAACATAATTATCAAAATGTCCAGATGTATAGCCATGAAATCTATTGAAACATGCAGTTGCAACGCATCTGGACAGGTTTGGAAAGATTGAGAAAGAATCATCATAGTAACAGTCCATAAAACTAAACGGTCATTTTAAAAAAAGTAGATTTTAATTTTCTCTTTTATTTTTTATTCCCCTTCCCATCTCTCAGGAAAGACAAAAGCCAGCCTATGGGACCAGCTTACAAATACCAGTGGGACAATCATTGGGGTGACTTCCTGCATTGTGATCCTCCTTATCATCATCTCTGTAATAGTCCAGATCAAACAGCCTCGTAAAAGATTTGTCCAGAGGAAAGCAGACTTTGATCAAACAGTATTCCAAGAGGTCTTTGAGCCTCCTCATTATGAGTTATGTACTCTTAGAGGGACAGGAACTTCAGTGGACCTTGCAGATCTTGCAGATGACTTTGAAAATTATCATAAACTCCGTAGGTCATCTTCGAAATGCATTCATGACCACCACTGTGGATCACAATTATCTAGCACTAAGGGCAGCCATAGTAATCTTAGCACAAGAGATACACCGATCTTGACAGAAATTCAACCCCAGCCTGCAAAGCCCCTTATCCAGCCTATGAACAGAAGAAACATCCTTGTCATGAAGCATAGCTACTCACAAGATGCTGCAGATGTGTGTGAGATAGATGAAATTGAAGAGGTACCAACCACGAGTCACAGGCTGTCCAGACATGATAAAGCTGTTCAGCGGTCAGTATCAATAGATTTTTGATGAAGACTTTTGCATGAAGACTGGGTTCAGCTCTATTTTCTATTTATTTTTTCTAATATGCATATCCGTTTACAGTCCAATCATTGTTCATGAGCTATCATTCTTCTTTTTCCAGGATGCAATTTATGCATGGTGGAGGAGAGTTTGGTGGGAAGGGGGTGGAGGAGGAGAAGGTCCTTTTGGTACCATCCCATGAAAATACCCAAGTCAGTGATTCCGCTTGCAAAGAATCCAAAATGGTCCTCATTTATATTTTTAGGCATTTACTAGAACTTATAGTCTAGTAAATGCCTAGTATTCCCTGGCAGTTTTTGGCAGATGAAAATAGGTTCTTTCTATTTATATTTATATTCACCTGCTATTTGGCATAAAGTAGCCATGGAGACCATTACGGTACCAGTCTTTACTATCTGGCTTTAAAAATCAAAACATAATGAAGTTTAAACTTTCCTGTCTTTGCTTGTTCACTAATCTAGGCTCTAAAATATTTTTTAGTTCTGGAGTGCAGCCTTCATCCTTTCCATACATGCAAACACTCAAGAGCTAATTGTGTGGAGGGATTTATAGCATAGAAAGATCAAACAAGGAAAGAGTTAAGCAGCTATTCCTAGAGAGGCTTCTTTAATTTTTAAAGCAGCTAAAGAATACTGTTGATTATACACATACATACATACATACATATACATACACACACACACACACACATATACACACACAGAGACACACACATATATATATACATACACACATACACATATATATACACATACATATATATATATATATATATATATATACACACACACACATATATATACACACATACATGCATACACACACACACACACATACATACAGTATATACGTATATACTTATTTTATGGGAAATTCTAATTGCAAATATCCCATTGCCTGTCTGATTTTGTTTTTTCTTTGTTTGCTTGTTTGTTTTTGATTTTTCTAATACTATTCTATCATCAAAAATTGTCTATTCTATTTTCAGGAGAGGTATGGTGTCTTATTATTTTAATTTCATTAAATATAAAAATGTATGAAAGAGTAGATAGACTTTCCCACCAAAGACACTTTTGATTAAATTAAGGGCAGTTTTCGTTGAAAAATCAGCATGCAGAACTGATTTCTTAGAGTTTGAATGTAATATGTTGTCCTTCCAAATTGTAGGGAGGGATAAATCAATCATAAAATCCCTTCGTCTTTCTTTCATGTTTCTTTTATACAGCAAAACACAATATTTTGAAATATGATATGGTAATATCTGTAGTTGATCTATCATTACTTATCTTGTTTATTTGCGATTTAGACTAGGGAATCATTTTTATGCTTTAACTTGATATTCTTTTAGATTTGCTTATGAAAAAAAAAACCCATAGCAGAGCAGAAGCTTTCTAAATCAACTTTGGCAGATTTACTGTTTCAAAGAAAATTATGGGGACTCTTTTGCTGTGAAATGCACCCTGCTTGTTAATAAAAATGCTTAAAAGATTATGAGTAAATATGAATTGGAAAATATTTACATACAATGTACTTGGAAACTGCCAGAAAAGTTGTGATAGGTTTAGGCTCCACAAACATATATTTTATTATTCTCCATATTGTTGTGTTCATGTTTCTGTCTTTTCCATAGTCTACATAAAAGCTATCCAAACTTGGGGTGTCTACAGGAGGAATAAAACAAATTGCTGGATAGAGCTGTGTGATTGGAGCCCCATTATTATTATTTTGTCTGCATTGCTTGACATATCCCTCCTTACTGCAAACACCCCAATCCCAAATTCTCAGAGCACTTTGTTAACCAAGCCATTTTAATGGACTAATTTTAGAGGGTTGATAAAGTTAATAAGAGTATTATTATGCTTATTATTTCCTACCAGCCTACCAGTTTTAGATATCTTAAATTAATTTGATCTGAATCTTTAAATATGCTTCAGTAAAGGATGTATATGCATGTATTTCTTTTTTTCCTATGCAAACATTATTATGTTGAATGAAATAGCCATAACATTCCAGGTTCTGCCTCATTGGATCTCTAAACAAACATGAATCTGAGTACAACACAACTAGGGTATAAAAGACAACTGAAGGTAAGTCAACTAACACATTGTTCCCAATTCACCATTCCTGCATTCCATTTATTTTCTTGGAAAAAAAATCTGAGATCTTTTTATAATTTGTTTTTTGTGGTTGTGTGTTTTGGCTTGTTTGCAAAATGTTGCTAATCCCCAAATGTATAAAGAATTTTAAAGGGATTTTCTGTAATTTCAACAACACACACAATTTATTCAGTCACTTTCCTCAGTTCCATTATAACATCCTCCAAAATATGATTTGGCATTTTAAACTTGATTTTTAAGGTTTGGCATGACCATTCACTTTGATTGTTACTCTTTTAAAATCCAGTGTTTAAAATGTTTCAAAAGGTAATAACTTCCATCCTGATACACGCTATAGGAAAATAGAGAACCTATCTTTTAGAACTATCTATAGTCATAATTGACGCATGCTTATTTTAGGAAAGTTGAATTAATATGCAGATGATTTCTTATTTATTCTCACAATTCACTGAAGCTGGTTTTACTTAAAGCCTATTGGCCATTTTCATGAAGTAGGAGTTTGAACTTGTTTCTTATTGAAATCCTTGAACTCTTTTTCATTTTTCCATTCTCCATGATATCCCTGTTAGGTATTTATTTTGAGTATTATGAATGGCACTTACTGATGCTGTTATGGTTCCGGCTAATGAAACACTTCAAAGAACTTCCAGGCATTGATTTTCCTAAAAGTCATTTATTGTTACAAAATGTCAGGCACAGGCACAACGGAGGCTTTATGCTAAGATCTAAGTTCTCTTCTTCTGAGCAGTTAAATTATCAGCATGTTCCCTCCCTAAATTAGCTGTCATATATCACATTATCCAATTAGTGTGAAGGTCAAAGGTTTCCTTCCTCTTTCTTTCCCCTGGCTTTGCCTCCACCCCCTTCTGCTCTGTATTAACTTCAAAAATACCAGACAGTTCTGTATATTGTCAAAGCAAGAATATACAATATTTGCAGCATTGACAGATGCATTATTGTGAATGTACTTACCCAACAATATACAACCACATTTGGCTATAGTCCAAGATCTTTGGGCAAAAAACACATTTTATTTTACTTAATTAAAATAAATTAATAGAATAGATTTAATAAATTCTTTGTCCCTATAAATGTAATAATTTTGCCCTGTGTCACTTTGCAAAGCACAAGTTGGTGGCATTTTTTGGTTCATAACCCAAGGTTTTAGAGGATGCATATGACCCAGGAGTTCAGCTTTCACATGATTTGTGACTGTTGAAAAGATGAAGGAAACAAAAATCTGTAACTAAATGTCTGACCTGGGTAATGAACTACAAAGGAAGTGCAGAAAATTAATTTCTGAGACCCATCAGGAAAAACATCTAATGTCTTATTCCTGATGTCAAAGTAGAATTGATCCTACTTCTCATTGTGCTGTACACAAGTGGAAATTAGGCTGTTTGGTTAATACCACTTAAATGCACTGCCAGATTATGATATGATATGAAAACATTGTACTGTGTTTTCAGCAAGTACTTATGATATCAAGGAATGACTTAGGAAGCAGTTTCCATGTGAAAATGTAACTCACTTGTTTCATTTATACAGCCTTGCTGTTTCATTTTGCTAGCAAGAAATATGTTTTCTTGAAAAGTTCAAAAAGGGTTTATATTTTTGTTTTTTAATTTTTCCACAATTAGCATATTGACTTTCTGCTCAAAATCATACCTGAAATGCCACAAAATCAATTATTTTAAGTTTTCAGGGGAATTCTATACACTTGGTTTCCCCTATTGAAAATAAAGCTAGATAATCAGCCTACACTTCAGAAGTAGCATATGTAGAATATGTAGGCGTTTTCAAACTTACATGTATTAAGTAAAGTTTAACATTATGGTTATCACTGAATAGTAAGATACACCTAGAGGCATATTTGGAGGAAGAAAGGTGCAAAAGCCACTGTTTCATACATGCCGAAATGAAAAATGTTTAATTTTAGTGCTCCTGATCATTGTGAAAAGATCTTTCCTGAAAAAGATAGTTCCATATTTCCATTATTTTTTTAAAGCTTGGCTAAGGATTTAAGTTTATTTGTGTGTAATTTATTTTTATTTGAAATATATTTTATTTGGAAACTGATTAATAGTGGTAGCTAAAGCTATAATTTTCTTTTATACATTTATATTAGTTTGTCTGCATTTATATGCTCTATTTTTACATGTGAATTTATGTGTGTGTATGTGTATATATACATACATACACCTATTAAAAAATTCTTCTTGACCTTGGCCAATGAGTCTGCTCAGTGGTCAGCTGTTCATCCCTTTCTCTAAATTACTGTGCTCATAAGTGTTATTTTATCCAAATTCTAATCACCAGAAATGATATTCTATATGTGACATGGCTTCACATGTCTTTTTGCCCTCAGGTTGCCAATCACAAGTAGTTTTGTTGCTGCAACCCTTAAAAAAAAACATTTGCTCCATCTTCTCTAAGTATATCATTAAATCCCTATCAGTGGATGGATTGATGGATGGATGGGTGGATGGATTTTAGTACAAAAGCAAACCCATGTGAGCAATTTCCATCCTTTTGCAGAGAACCAGCTTCCAAATAAATCACATTTCTTTTCATGGTTGAATTCATGGTCTCTTATCAATGTAATATCTTTCTTATGGTACAGTATTTTACATATTGTGTCGAACAAGATTCTTTCTATTGAACCTGTTATATGTGCATTGTTTTCATTATGTAGACTGTTTGAGAATAGTGCATTCCGGGGTGATTTTGAATAGACAACAGTGACCTATGAAAGTATCAGCTCTGGAACTTCAAGCTAGAGATGTTCTGGACTCCAATGAACTACTCCAGTTTCGTGAAAAAAACCCATCAGTCAATAATAAGCAAAATTAATGAATGGCAATAAGACCCTTATTACTATATTTATTATTGTAATCATATTTTTCTTTTATATTGTTATTTATTTTATTATTTGATTACAAAGAAAAGTTATCCACTTTCAGGAACAAATGATTAAATCAGGTATTTATGAATTCATAACCACTTCAACAGAAATATCAGTTGAAAACATATCTAATAATGTGGCGGAAGGTCACACTGAGAAATTGATCTGCATGTATGTTGCCGAAGATTTGAATCGGCAAAAAAAAAAAAAGTTTGAGTTTCATTGTAAAAAGCATGCATTCATACTTACTGCTATTCCAATCCATTTCTTTGTGTCATATGCTTGCTAATTGTAAATTTTTCTATAATGTTACATAAAACAATGTATAATAATTTCTTAAACTGAGTTTTGCAGTAGTCTTTTATTTACTCTAGCAGTTAGGTAAGGATTCATAATGGATTTATAGTACATTTGCTGGGTCACATCTAAGTGTACAATGATGAATCATTTTTAGTAGCTGAAATTCTGAAAGTCATCTAAAACAGGGATCTCCAAACTTGGCAACTTTAAGACTTGTGGACTTCAACTCCCAGAATTCCTCAGTCAGCATCCTGAAGTCCACAAGTCTTAAAGTTGCCAAGTTTGGAGATCCCTGTTCTAGAAGGGAATGAAGCAAGTACGAATAAATACTGAATTTATCTTTAATTTCTCCCCCAAAAAACCCAAGTAAGATGAGATTTCTGCAGTATCTTTGTTTTTGTGTTATTTCTGTTCTTTCTGTACTTTCTGATAGATTACGTTAGGAATAATGTGTGTTGTCAATACCTTTCCTTATGAATTACAGAATTCAATGCCATTTGGTGAAAATTTCTGTCTCAATGTTGAAAAACAATTTTGCTAGAACTTTTATTTAACCATCCCAAATGTTGCATATTCACTTTATCAATATTGTGACATATTATCTGAAATGTTGAAAGTTCAAAAACTGAAGTTCACAGGCGTTGAAATCTCAGAATCATTGTGGTTTTGAAAGATGCACACAGAGGGGTGACAGCTCTCAGATTCAAATTAAAACTAATGATAAACTATCAAATATTGTAAATTGCTAAATGTAGTCCAGTGTTGAAAGTTATTATAGATTGCAATTATTTAATATTTGTAATTTTTTAAAGTAAATTTCTATTACCTCGAATAGCATATTTTTTAATGTGTGCTTTGGAGTAACTACTTTTATAAACGAAGCAGTTGAGTAAAAAGTGTTTCACTGGCTTCAAAGAACAGAAGGCATTCAAAATAACTTTAAAAATATATATTCACAAACAAATCTCATGAAATTCACTGGCACTAATCTTAAAGTCTGTGACATGTGATTATGCTTCCAGTATAGAGTAGCAGTTATGCTGCATGAGGAAAGAACGGATTGTTTTATATTTTTGTCTATTTATGTAAATTTTATTAGCAGTAACATTGACCTAGGTTTTGAAGCTTTTACTGCAAAGAAACCCCTCTTTTAAATAGTCAGTTCCCTTGCATTTAAATTGAACATTGCATAGATCGGTGAAGTGGGGAGTTATGGACTTATTGGAAATCTTGGAATAATAAAAAAGTGCACTTTATATTTCTGGTGGGCTGTGGTGATCACTATTCAGTGTTTAAAATGTATGGCCTCACTTATTACAAGTCTTTGATGTTATGTCATGTCATGAAAGATGGCTACAATGTGAAGAGAAGTTTCCTTGAGTTTAATTCAATAAGCTAAGGTCTCATTGTAAAAAGAACAAACATCAAACTAATTTCATCGATGCTCCTCTAATTTGCTCTGGCTTCTCAAAAACCAGAGGAACTTTTTAATCATTCAGAATAGTGCAAAGGCAAAGCAACAAGAAGACTTTGAGAGAAAAGATGCCAGATGCATTATCCTTTAATCAATTAAAGAAAGAGAAAGTCTGTTGTCTGCTGGACTGCAGGATAGCCTAATAAAGAATTTAAATGAAGATGTTTAAGTATGGTAAGTAGTTTCATATATGCTCATGCATGTTTGTGCACTTTTTGTGGTGAGGGCTAACTTGACAATGAATGTTTAAACCCAATGGTATCTGAATTGTTTACAAAAAATTGGCTATATTTGAAAACAAAATATCTCATGTAACAGGTGCAAACATGTTTTCATTATGATGCACTTACATGCCAACAGTATCTCAGATTAAAAAATACCTTTATATAAACAAAAGCCTTCTACAATTAACTAGTAACTGATCATTGCTCAAAACTGCATAAATAGATGAACCATCTGTAAATATAAGAAAGACCTCCAGCATAATCTTTGTTATCAGTTAGGATAATATTAAAGCAGCCAGCCATGTGGTTCTGTGGGATGATATCTCACACAGATCAGTTTTTCTGCACCCGTCTTCTGAGGTTTCTACTTCTCATTTCCATGGGACTTTCTATGACTTCTGGAAGCTACTAAAAACCCTGTTACCGTACCTTTTGGTTTAACGAAAATTGTCCTGGTTTGGCACTTAGCTTCCAGCCTTGCTGTAAGTAGAACCATACTAACCTGCAATAGAGAATTGTTGGTACAGACAATTTACAATGTTACAATTTACTCTCCCCTTCAGTTTGCATAGCCAGAGTGGAAGTGGATTGAAAAGGCCAAACTTGCAGGCTGGCCATTGCAATTCCATATGCAACAATGTCTATAGAAGCAGTGGTTTAGCTGTCTGTCAGGACTGACTCCCCCTTTGCCTGTGCAGTTTTGAAAGAGCATTAAAATCGCTGTTAGCCTGATGATCATGACCTAGTTTTGTTGAGCTATGGTGGTGCTGTGGTTAGGATGCTGTATTGCAGGCTAATTCTGCCAACTGCCAACAGTTCGATTCTCACTAGCTCAAGGTTGACTCAGCCTTCCATCCTTCTGAGGTCAGTAAAACAACGGCCCAGATTGTTGACTGTAAACCGCTTAGACGGCTGTAAAGCACTGTGAAGCGGTATATAAGTCTGCTATTGCGTGGGAAAAGGAGAATGATTATAATGTTTGATATTTCAAAGTAGCTCAAGTTTTGTCTTAAGCATGTTGTTGCTTTGCAGCAGTAGTTTTAATTTTGTTTTGCTATAATCATCCAACTGCCTGAGTTTGCCATTACCAAATTCATAAAGACCAATGAATTTAAGAAACAGGAAATTAATAAAACTAAAAATAATTATTTTTATTGGAGTGATGTTATAAAAATATTGGCTTAGCTTAAATATTAATTATAGCAAAATCCAATTTAAAGGTAAATTTTGACTGTGCAATTAATCAGGCTGATGTAAATCCTTTTGTGATAGATGTCTGTTTGTTACATGCTGCAGTGACCATTATTCACAAATGGTTCTTGGTGGTGTTCTTATGAATTTCATATTAATTTTTGTTTCAAGGGAAGGACAAATTAGACTTTCACACTTACCACATTTGTGTTTATGTTCTATCTCATTTTTCAGTCAGTATGCATTTTTTAAAGGGCTCACAAAATTTGTATATGTTCTGCACATAAATTCTTTTAATATTTACTTTTTTTTACAAATATTCTAAGGTCTTTTTGTATTTTGTTTCTTCCAGTGTAAATTACAGCAGTTGACAGGTGAAAAGTAAAAGATAATTAAATTTCAGGTTGTGTATTAGTTTGTGTGATTACTCTTGGTCATATGAAAATGTAAACCAAAGAAACGTTGCCCATTAGTTTTTGTTTATTTTTATTTTTCAATATATTATACATATGTTCAGTTGGCATCACCAAGTTATGCATCTAGCAGACAAAAAGAACCAATGGCATAAATATGGCATTGCAAGCCCTGAAGAGATAAGAGTATTAATAATAATAATAATAATAATAATAATAATAATAATAATAATAATAAAATTGGAAGGGACCTTTGAGGTCATCTAGTCCAACCCACTGCTCAGGCAGGAAACCTATACCATTTCAGACAAATGGCTGTCCAGTCTCTTCTTAAAAATTCCAGTGTTGGAGCATTCACCACTTCTGGAAGCAGATTGTTCCACCTCTGTGTTGCAAAACTTTACACAACCTATAACATACAATTATTTATCTTCAGTGCTAATGCTACATATCTCAATTCTCAACTGATTATTAACTCATTTGTTGGTTTGATCCACATATTGCCACAAGCAAGAAGAAGAATGGAAGGAAGAAATTGAACATCATAACTGTGAACCATAAATATGATAGACATTCCAGAATTCTTTTGCTCTTTAAAATATTCACCTGCAAAAATTCAGGGCTGTTCTTTATTGGGTTTATATATTTGTTACTTTTCTCTACCCCATGCATTATTACAAGTATCCTCGAAATGCAATTACAACAGTATCTATGGAGATTCTTAGTCATCCCAGTCATGCTTTTTCCATAAGTCAATATTCTCATGAACTGAAGAAGCTTCTTCGATGAGAAGCAAAATGTTTTCAAAGCAAAAAAAAAAAAAAAACACCCAAGAAAGTCCAATTGCCTTTTGCAGAAAACACCAATTACGACAGTAATCCTTCTCACATCTTGCAACAAGGAACATTTGTTCTTCAATCTTCTCAAATGATATCCCAACATCAGGTATAAGATGAGATATAAACCTAACAGATAAATTAGGAAGTCACAGTTCTGATGGTTGAGTAGAACACACCATATTCTTGGGTAACTGGGATGGTAGTGCTGCAATACCATTCCTTACCGTTTTTGTTCAATAATATTCAAAGGAAGTATGTTGTCATATGAAAGGCCCACTCCTGGTAGCATTTCTTTTTTCAAGGATAAGATGATATGGATTTCTGCATTATAATCTCTTGACATCATTACATAGTAGGAAATGAATCCTGTAGTCTCCACCATTACAAAGATAGCATTTGGAAATGAGACTCATTAAAATTGATCATGAGAGTGTAAAAAGAACAAACCAGCCCTCGGACAGCAGTGCAGTGAGTATATAGGCCCTGTGAAATGGTAGAAAATCTGTCCTTCAGTCTAGTCTTTGGGCTATAAATCTCCCTGTTTGTTCACCACACAATCAAAACAGCATTAGCTATTAATAGGTCTTTTCAGAAAGAGTTATTCTAAAGGGACAAGAAAAGCCTTTATTCCTGTGCTATGTGATACTCTGTAAATTTACCTTCAATTGGCAATAAAACATCTTTCATTGGCTGGATACCCAAGTCCCTCATGGATGAATTTTTCAACTTTATATAAGAGCACCAACTGTTTGTTACAGGTAGCCCACAATTTACAGCCGATTGTTTAATAACCATTTGGAGTAATACCAGAATTTTCAAAGCTATATGACCTGTCTTCAAAATTACAATTACTTTAGCTTCCTACAGTGTTGTGATTGAATTTTGGGCACATGGCAACCA